GGTGTATTCATAAGGTCCCAAGACCCAACAGACTGTTTTCAGGGTGGCATGGAGACTCTGTTAACTGAGGTGACATGGAAAAAGCAGGCAGTAGTGTGAACAGCATCACAGAGAAACTCAGTAGTGCCAAGTCACTAAAATTAGAGCTTTGGTAGCAAATATTACAGTAGACTGTAACTCTCTGTGGATAACGGGATAAGATCACAGACAGCCCAGGTGAACCATGTAACTATCAGAGTTTATGTTGGATAGTGTGGAGTACTGTAGCTCATGGGGCTATGTGGGGACTGTGAAGAGACTTTGGAGTTAATCATAATTCAAATATGTTGTAGAACATTTGTTTAACTAGGCAAAGATGTGTTATATTTGTTTATGCTGCATTTGTTTAATGATGTAAAGATGTGCTGCTTTGCCTGTGTAAGGCACCTGATTGGTCTAATAAAAAAATTGAATGGCCAATAGTAGGTAGTAGAGGGACAGATGGGGCTGTCAGGCAGAGAGAATAAGTAGGAGGAGGAATCTAGGCTCAAGAGAGGGGATAGAGAGAACAGAATGAGGGAGAAAAAGAGGGAGATGCCTGGGGCCAACCAACCAGGCAACTGCTAGCCAATCAGACACAGAGTAGGACATACAGAATGAAAGAAAGGTAAAAAGCCCCAAGGCAAAGTGTAGATGAAGAAAAACAGGTTAATTTAAGTTATAAGAGCTAGTAGGACAAGCATAAGATAAAGTTGAGCATTTATAACTAATATTAAGTCTCCAAGTCATGATTTGGGAGCTGGTTGGTGGCCCCAAAGAAAGCCTGATACATTTGGCATTCAAACATGGGGCCTGAACTTTCACATAGGGCCTGAGAAAACTGAAAGAAAAAAGGAAGAGAGAGAGAGAGAGAGAGAGAGAGAGAGAGAGAGAGAGAGAGAGAGAGAGAGAAAACAAATGGATACAGCTCCTTTAAGAGGCTCTGCCATACAGCAAGCACTTGAGCAACTGGCATGCTAAGTAGAAACAGCAAGCTAAATCAAGACACCTGCCACAGTGTGGGCACCAACTTCCTAGAACTGGGGCAGTTGAATGCAGCTCCCAGCTAGACTCAGCTCTTGGCCAGGCCTGCAGGGAGTATGTGTGTGGGGGGGGGTGGGGGGTGGGGTTAAAGCTCAGTTCTCACAGACCAGAGCAGGGGAGAGCCAGCTGCCAGCACAAAGCTGTCTGGCAAGTTTAAGGTTGGCTCATAGGGTATGGACAGACATAGGACCATAATCCCCAACACAACATCTTTTAGCATGAAAGTCTTTACCATAGATATGCTGGCTTCAAAAAAAAAATAAACAATGCTGCTTCTCTTGTTTAAGATTGTATTGACTATTCCTAGTATTTTGTGCCTTCACATGAAATTTAGGATTTTTTTTTCAGTTCCATGAAGGAATTCATTGGGTATGTGGTAGGAATTGCATTGACAATTTAGCTAGACTTTGGCAATATGGCCATTTTCTCAGAACTCTGCAAATTCATGAATATGGTATGCCTTTTCAGCATCAATGTGTTCTTTAGTCTTTTTTTCTTCTTCAGTATTTCATAATTTTCACTATATAGGTCTATCCCATCTTTTGCTAGATTTATTCTAGATGTTTTATTTTGTGGGATAGGAATTATGGTGAGTAGAATTGTTTTCCTGATTTCATTCTCGTTAAATTTGTTGGTGGAATCATAATAGCGGGTGTTGTAGAGCCAAGATAAAACCAGCATGATAATGCCACAGTACAAAACACATGGAGACACCCAGCATAATAGAGCAGGAGAACATGCAGAAAACTGAAACTTGATCCCTACCTGTCTTCCTGAAAAAGCAAGTCTCTAAACACAAGTACATGAGAACAACATTGAATGGGTTCTCTTTGAACAGCATCCAATTGGCGCTCTCTCTCTCTCTCTCCCCCACTCCCTCTCTGTATCTCTCTCGCCCCATGCGTGTGTATGTGTGTGTGTGTGTGTGTGTGTGTGTGTGTGTATGTGTATGTGTGTGTGTGTGTAAAACAATAATAATTATAGGGAAGTCCTGAACTGGAGAAGGAGTTGGAGGCATAGGAAGAGTAAGGGGGAAAGAGGGGTAGAAATGATGTAACTACAGTACTCAAGCATGAAATTCTCAAAAAAAGTTTAAATAAAAACTTATCCAAAATGGATCAAAGACCTTAATGTATGATTTGAAACTTTCAAAGTATGAGATGAAAATATGGGAAAAGTGATTCAAGCTATGGCGTAGAGAGTTGATAGCTCAGGAAATAACAGCAAAAATTGTCAAGTGGGAATTGCATTAGGACACTTCCTTAGGTGTTTCTGTATACTTAACAAAACAATTGATAGAATGAAGAGACACTCTACTGGGTTCAAAAAATCTTTGTCAGCTATACACTACCCAGAGGAATACATAAAGACCTAAAAATTTATTTTTTTTTAAATTATAGTAACTTTAATAACATTTCTTTTTAGAAAATTTTTAATGATTCATTTATTTTTATTTTATATGTGTCTTAGGATTTCTATTGCTGTGAAGAGACACCATGACCATAGCAACTCTTATAAAAGAAACATTTAATTAGGGTGGCTTGCTTACAGTTTCATAGATTCATCCATCATCATCATGGGAGGGAGCATGGTGGCATGCAGGCAGACATAGTACTGGCCACATCTTGGCTTGCAGGAAAGAGGAAGTTGACTGAGACACTGGATGATATCCTGAGCATAGGAAACCTCAAAATCTACCCCCACAGTGACACACTTCCTCCAACAAGGCCATACCCAATATCTACTCCAACAAAACAACACCTCCTAATAGTGCCACTCCCTATGAGATTATGGGGGCCAATTACATTCAAATTACCACATTAGGCATTGGTGTTTTGCCTGCATGTATGTCTTTATGAGGATATCGGATCCCCTGGAGTTACAGACAGTTGTGAATTGCCGTGTAGGTGCTGAGAATCGAACCCAGGTCCTCTGGAAGAGCATCCAGTGCTCTTAACCACTGAGCCATCTCTCCAGCCCCAAGACCTAAAACTTTAAACTCCAAAAGATCCAATCAATAAATGGATAAATGATACAAACAGATGCTTCCAAAGAAAAAAATTATAAAGGACTACTAAATACATAAACAATGGTTGAATATTTTTTAACCATCAGGAGGATATAAATCATACTACATTGAAATTCTACCTCACCCTAGTCAGAATATTTACCATTATGAAAACAAAAATAAATGGTACAGTGGATGCAAAAGAGTAGGACCCTTATACCCTGCAAGTGTGAGTGTAAACTGGTACAGCTGGAAATCAGTGCAGAGTTTTCTCAAAAACTATAAGTAGAGCTCCCAAATGATCTCGCTCTAGTATTCCTGGGTGTGCACAGAAAGGCACTGAAACAACACACAGGAGAGATCCCGGCACACCCAAGTTAATGGGGTTGCTATTTATAATAGTCAAGCCCCCAAACCAGCTCAGCATGTATCTACAGATGAATTGGTGATGAAAATGTGGCATACGCACACCATAGAGAATTATTTACCCATCAGGAAGAATGAAATTCTGTCATTTGCAAGCCTAGAACACCATATTAAGTAAAACAAGCGAGCCTCAGGAAGAGGAGCATCAAATGTTGCCTCACACAGGTGAAATCTACCCAAAAAAGGACTGTAAAAAGTAGGAGAACTAATATGGAAAGGATTAGGGTTAGAAGGAGGCCAGAGAGGGGATTAGTGTCAGGGAGGGTAAGCCAACAGACCTGAGATGGAGTTATTTTCTATACATATGAAAATGTCACAATGAGACCCAGTATTTTTTTTTTTAAAAAGTGCATGACTTTATTTATTCATTTATTTATTTATTTATATTTTTTTTTCTGGAGCTGGGGACTGAACCCAGGGCCTTGCACTTACTAGGCAAGCGCTTTACCACTGAGCTAAATCCCCAACCCCTGAGACCCAGTATTTTTAAATTATTAAATACTAAAAGGAAACCATCTGACATTTAAAAAAAATCAGCAAAAAGACTGGAGATGGCTAGTATAACACAATTGCACAAATATTGGACTAAAGATATAGCTACGGGTTCATGAAATAGATCAATACACTAAGTGGCAATCCTGAGATTAGGTCTTGACACTGTGTAGTCATTCACATTGTCTCTGTGTAGATGCTAGGTGACACACGAATAGGGATATGAGAGTCTTGAGTTGCTTCACTGGTGGGGTTGTCTCAGATATGGTGGAGAGCAGTGGCAAACATGAAGTAGTTACTTGGGCAATAGTCTCAGGAAGCATTTGAACTTGATAGATCATACCAGACAAAGAGGAAGCCAATGGAGACCACAATGAGCCGAGCCCCACAGGAGACAACTAGCTTCCATAATACCCAGGGCCTCAGTAATACCACAGTGGCATATTTCCTCTTGGAAGGAAGTGGGGGAGAGCATGTGATCACAACTGTATTTCCTTGCTTGAGCTGTGTGCTCAGGGGCTTCTCTATCCTTCCTACAGAGCACTCTTCAACTAGAGGCGGTCAGGGGAATCTGTGTGCTCATCCTATGAGATCTTCTTCCTACACAGGAAGAAGAATACAGGGGGAAGACAGCAGACACACCGGAAGTCATCTGCTGTGATCACGGCATTGTTAGAGATGGGCTAAAACATTGACAAATGAGGATGACCATTCAAGGAGAGATGAGACACAGACACATTTGCATTCTTACAAAGCTAAAGTTTATTTAAGACACAAAGGGGAAAGCTACTTTTGAAAATGGAGAAGAAAAAAATGTAAGGATAAGTTTACAGATTTAATAGAACAATCTATCTTGTGTTCATTTGACAGAGACACAGGGATGTGTATTTGGGAGGTAAAAATCAGTATGTTAAGACGGAAGCTTTACGCTGGGCCTCTCAGGATCAGCTCACAGGTGGGCCACATCAGGAATGCTGGGTGGTGAAGAACAGGAGACTGTGGGTGAGAGCGCTCAGCAGCAAGAACTGCTAGAGCATGCTGGGCGGCAGCAGGTGGTCTGACAACAGGTGGGGCGGCAGCAGCTGGAGATGCAGCACTGAGGCCTGCAGCAGTTGGACACACAACAGCTGGGGCGGCAGCAGGTTGTCTGGCAACAGCTGGGGCGGCAGCAGCTAGAAATGCAGCAGCTGGGGCGGCAGCAGCTGGATCCACAACAGCTGGAACTGCTACAGCAGGGACGGCAGCAGCTGGAGATGCAGCACTGAGGTCTGCAGCAGCTGGACACACAACAGCTGGGGCGGCAGCAGGAAGGCCTGCAGCAGCTAGAAATGCAGCAGCTGGGACGGCAGCAGCTGGATCCACAACAGGTGGAACTGCCACAGCAGGGGCGGCAGCAGCTGGAGATGCAGCAAGAGGGCCTGCAGCAGCTGGGGCGGCAACAGGGGCGGCAGCAGCTGGAGATGCAGCAAGATGGTCTGCAGCAGCTGGTCACACAGCAGCTGGGCCTGCAGCAGCTAGACACACAGCAAGTGGGCCTGCAGCAGCTGGGCTGGCAGCAGCTGGATACACAGCAGCTGGGCCTGCAGCAGCTAGACACACAGCAAGTGGGCCTGCAGCAGCTGGGCTGGCAGCAGCTGGGCTGGCAGCAGCTTTGGCCACAGCCCTCCTCAGAGCAGACAGAGCCACAGCAGGAGTTGACCATGGTGTCAGAGGTGGAGGTTCTGGGTGAGTTTACAAGAAGGTGTGTTGGAAGGTTTGGAAGTGGGAGTCTCCCTGCCCACATCCCCTTTTATACCCTGCTGAGGGGCTGCTGTCCTCACATGCAGCATTCTTTCCCTGTTATTGTTTAGGTTAATAAACAAACAGGTGATTATCAAATTAGCCAAGTTTCTTTTCCTGGCTAAATTATGAAGGTGGGTGAAAAACACAATTTCCTTTTCCTGATGTGTTAGGACTCATTGTCAGTTCTTGATGAACTATTCGTGAAGTATCTTATGGGCTTCAGTTCCTTCTAGAAGAGTTTTCACAAGACGCTGTGTGTCTTATCACTCTGTCCTTCTTTCTCATGCTTTACAGCACCACTGTCTATTCAGGCAATTATTTTTCTTACAGATCTTTTCTCGTGACTGGGAGGATAAAGCTGCATTAATTTGATGGCTCATCACAATGACTCAGATGGGACAAGGTTAGGTCCTGGATACCTCCCTGTGTAGTCTGTGATCCAGTTTCTAGATCTTTTAAAACTGGAAATGGAATAATCGCCAGGTGGTAAGCTGGATGGTAAAATGTTGGGTTTTACTCTTTTTTTTTTCTACCAAAGCAAAACTCTAAAAGTAATTCTACTGTCACTTCGGAGAGTTGTGGCCACAGAGCTGAGTTACACCATAAAATGCTTGTTCCTCCACTGTTCCCTTTGGCCCTATTCCTTTACCATTCTGTCTTCTGGCTGTGACTGATCCTCACAGCCGTGTTGTTTCCATTTCAAGATGCAGAACTCCCACTACACAGCATACCGTTGCCTCTTGCTCTAGCTCAGTGGTTCTCAATCTGTGGGTCACAACCCCTTTGGAGGTCACCTTTCACGGGGTCACCCAAGACTATCAGAAAACACAGATATTTACACCACAACTCATAACAGTAGCAACAAAAATAACTTTAAGGTTGGGGTCAGCATTACATGAGGAACAGTATTAAAGGGTCATAGCATTAGGAGGGTTGAGAACCACTAGTCTAGCTTATACCCAACTTTCCTGTGTCTGTTGAGGTCCTGGACCCTGTAGACACTCCTGCTCTATGATTTGAGTGGTGGACTGGACTGCTCAGTTCAGGGTTTCCTTTAATAATGATATAACAAGAAAATGATAGGAAGCAGGTATTAAATGGGAGGATTTCAGCTTACATCTGTTTATGTGTGGTCATAGTAGAGACCAAGGGTGCACAATCCTCATCCCATTGGCTATGAGGTTAGAGTTTCTGATAAGGAGGTATGCGAAGTATATCTAAAGTCCGTAAGACATTTCATTGCCTCCTCTTGTTCCCTTAGGCTGAAGAAGCAGAGACTAGCTAGTGATGATGTCATCCTTAGGATAATTTAAAGACCAATCCCCCTGCAAGGTTTTCATCTCCTTGGCTTGCTAAGCAAACTTTTCATTTTTGTGCTTTTTACTTTAGGCTTTTCTCTGTAGTGCTGAAGAATGGGAAAGATTGAAACATGTATGTGTCAGCAGTAGTGGTAAAATGCTTGCTACATTTGCTACGTCATAGAAACAGAGTAAAAAGATAAAGACAGAGTTGATTATTAGAGGAGAGGTTTCTCTGTAGATTTAGGGAAGTTAAAGAAGGCTGGGGCTGTAGCCCACATATAGAACACTGTCTAACATGTGCAAGAGTCTGTGGTCAAGCCAAACACTATAAATTACGTATTAAGAATTAAGTCAAACCCTCTCTCCCACAACTAGAACAGTGGAGTACATTTCCCTTGTAAAACAATTTATAAACAATCACAGCCACTAAGCTAGTTGGAGGCATAATTGAATCATTTGGGAAGTGTCAAAAATTGCCTTTGCCTACTCTTGCCCAAAATAATAGCTCACTTAGCAGGTCTGTAGTAGATCATGTGTGTCAAAAGTTTATAAAATTCCATGGTTTATCCCAGTGCCCAACCAAGATTGAAATCTCTCTTCTTAAAACTTCCACACTACACAGCTGTTTTCATTCATAAGAGAGATTGCAAAATCAGTCATGTTTCACTCAGTGGCATCCAAATCACAGAGAAAATTTCCCTGAATTGGAAACACTGAGCTCGAAGTACTGTAGACTAAGAGGCCCACAGCACTGAGAATGGGACTGAAGCCAGTGGGAAGTCGCTCTGGATGGCACACTGGATTGTTAAAAAGGAAACCCCACACTGAGAGACATCATTCTATACACCCCAGCTCAATTTTACCAGCTGTCTAGAACAGATAATTGATGTCAGTGTGGTACAAACAAACAAAATGGATAACTGATTCCAGTGCTGTGCACTGGAACCATGAGATGTCTACCTAGGCTGTACTTGCATTGTGTAGGTGGGGTTTAATGTCTCTTGAGTAATTTCTCTCCCTTTAAACTGCTCTTTTCATCTTTTTAAAATACCAAAATGAAAGAAGAAAGAAGTCAGTTAAATGCCATCAGTTAGAATGGAGTGAAGGAAACTGTATTTGCAAAAGGCATCCAGGAGCTAGGCGATTATCGTTCAGTAACCTGGCACAGGCTGAGGTTATATCTTGTCAAGCATCATGTTAGTATATACAACCATTTTTTTTTCACAAATTCCTGGTATGTGTCTTGCCTGTAGCTAAAATGGATAATTAGGTGAGTAACAGTGTCTAACATAACCTCGTGATCTATACAGAGAATACAATATGTGTGTCTAGTGGAAAATCACATATTTCCAGTACAATTAACTTCCTTATAATTAAAATTGAAGCTCCATTAATTACTAATGAATATATATTGAATGAATGTATAATGAATGAACGAATGAACATATATTAAATGAATGAATATATTAAATATAAAAATGAATGTATATTAAACAGTATTATCAATCTTGAGAGTGATATATGTATTAGAAATAATGGAAATGCCCCCCCAACCATTGGTTGATTCCTCTTTGCTCTTAAAATATTTTCATTGCTTTGTCTAATCTTGCTGTTTAAATCTAGCTAAGCATTTCAGTTCCCCTGCTTGAAAATAACCTTTGTTATTCTGAAAACATGCATATACTAGAAATGTCTAAGTGTACATTGACATCACAATAGCTCTTAAGGAAGTGTAGCCTAAGGCCAAGGCAAAGAGACATGTCATCTCCAAGAACAGCTGATGCTGTCTTGACCACATTTCTACCCACACAACCTCACAGAATCACTGCCTCAGAATAACTGATGGAGACCATCTGTGAGCTGAGTCCCGGGAAGCCCATTGTAAAGCTTCTGATACAACTGAGACTGATTGGGACAACAGATCCATTGCTCCACCCCTGCCTGTCTCTGTCTAAAAAGAACATACATTTCAGAATTACAGGTGATCTTTGTTTGGCTTTTCTTGACACCACTAGCCTGCCAACGGATATCTGTAAACAGTGTAGTTTAGTTTCACAGAAATTTTGTGAATATTGCATAGACTATCACTATTTGCACTTTGTTTTCTTTTTCTTGGTATTATATTCTACCTGAGAACAAGGTTCCTTGTTGTAGCCCCCAGTTCTCTCCATCTACTGTTTCACAGGATGTGTATGATTCCTTCTTTGTGAGCCATTTACTTCCAACCAACAGCACATGGCAACAATCAAGGGTGAAGTGACAGAAGACTGTGACTGGCCTCTTTGTGGCCAACTCTCCTCACAGACTGCCCCTCCACCATTGGCTTCGATGAATCTGGGTGTTGTGTGGGAGTTCTGAGGTTCTCACTCCAATGCTACCAAGGAAGCAAATGTTCTCAGCAACCACAGCAGTGAACGTGGAAGTGGACCCTTCCAGGCTGTCCCTAACATGAGACCCACCTTCCCTGAAGCTGTATGACACACAAGGACACAGACAATGAAACCTGTCTGTACCTGATTCCTGATCACAGAAACAGACAATAAATTCATCATGTTTTAGCTGCTATGTGTTCAGGGAGTGTGGCATGGCCACTGATTATTATTCTAGACTCATTTGGTCTCTCGTCACCCATAAAGGGGGGAAAGTCAAAGGTGTGAAGAAGTAGATACACTAGGATATTCTTAGTCTGAGGTTTGACTCAACTGAGTGTACCAGGCTCTGCTGACTCCCCATGGGAGACCTTGCCTTGGAGGAGGTGGGGATGGGGGTGGATTGGTGGGGGGAGAGCTGGGGGTGGGAGGAGGGAGGACAGGGGAATCTGTGGTTGGTATGTAAAATGAATAGAAAATCCCTTAATAAAAGAAAGGAAGAAAGAAAGCAAGAAAGCAAGAAAGCAAGAAAGAAAGAAAGAAAGAAAGAAAGAAAGAAAGAAAGAAAGAAAGAAAGAAAGAAAGAAAGAAAGAAAGAAAGAAAGGAAACCCAGAGGGATGACTGTTCCCCTTAAGATCCTGTAAACTCTCAGTTTACCAAGGCATTAAAGGGCAACTGGGAACAATTTCAGCAAGAAAAATAAGAAACAATGACATTTTATTTATGTACCTTCAAACTTTCAATTTATTTAAGATATAGGAAACTTGATTTTTAAAAAGTGTAGCAAAGAACAAATTAATGCAAGAGTTTGCAGAGTTCAAAGGAAGCTCAAATGTATGTTCATTCAGACAGCGACAGGAAGGAGTGGAGCAATAGTTGTTGTCCCAGTTAATCTCAATTGTATCAGAGGCTTTACACTGGGCCTCTCGGGATCAGCTCATACAGGTGGTCCACATCAGGAATGCTGGGTGGTGAAGAACAGGAGACTGTGGGTAAGAGTGCTCAGCAGCAAGAACTGCTAGAGCATGCTGGGCGGCAGCAGCTGGAGATGCAGCACTGGGGTCTGCAGCAGCTGGACACACAACAGCTGGGGTGGCAGCAGGTGGTCTGGCAACAGCTGGGACGGCAGCAGCTAGAAATGCAACAGGTGGGGCGGCAGCAGCTGGATCCACAACAGCTGGAACTGCCACAGCAGGGGCGGCAGCAGCTGGAGACGCAGCAAGAGGGTCTGCAGCAGCTGGACACACAGCAGCTGGGCCTGCAGCAGCTGGAAACACAGCAGCTGGGCCTGCAGCAGGAAGGCCTGCAGCAGCTAGAAATGCAGCAGCTGGGGCGGCAGCAGCTGGATCCACAACAGCTGGAACTGCCACAGCAGGGGCGGCAGCAGCTGGAGATGCAGCAAGAGGGTCTGCAGCAGCTGGACACACAGCAGCTGGGCCTGCAGCAGCTGGAAACACAGCAGGTAGGCCTGCAGCAGCTGGGCTGGCAGCAGCTGGACTGGCAGCAGCTTGGGCGGCAGCAGGTGGGCCTGCAGCAGGTGGTCTGGCAGCAGCTGGGCTGGCAGCAGCTTTGGCCACAGCCCTCCTCAGAGCAGACAGAGCCACAGCAGGAGTTGACCATGGTGTCAGAGGTGGAGGTTCTGGGTGAGTTCACAAGGAGGTGGATTGGAAGGTTTGGAAGTGGGAGTCTCCCTGCCCACATCCCCTTTTATACCCTGCTGAGGGGCTGCTGTCCTCACATGCAGCATTCTTTCCCTGTTATTGTTTAGGTTAATAAACAAACAGGTGATTATCAAATTAGCCAAGTTTCTTTTCCTGGCTAAATTATGAAGGTGGATGAAAAACACGATTTCCTTTTCCTGGTGTGTTCCTTGTCCACTGCTGCTGAGCCATCATCTAAATCTCTTTCCTGTTTCAGTTTCTTCCAAGAGAACTGTCACCTGGCATTTTGTATCTTGGTTCTGTTCACTTTGTTTTCATTTTGTATGACCCACTGTACCCTTAGGTCAGGACTATGGTGATGTAATTTTATGAAGATATCTCTTATAGTCTAAGAGACTGTGACTTTCGCTAGATGTATGCATACTCACACACAGACTTAAAAATATATAATATTTTAATAACATATATGCAGAGACAAATAAAAGCACCAATAAAAGGTGTTTTGTTAATTATAGAGGCTTCTATATAAATTTAAGGAGATTAGGAAAGACAATTCCCCATGCCAAAAAAGGGAAAAAACAAAACAAAAAACAAAAAACAGAATGTTACTTTTTAAGAGCTATTTCTTTCATAGCTTCTGGTGGGAGGGAGGAATGACTCAGTTTTCTTTAATATCTACTTTTATTTGTGGGGGTGTTGTGGGTGTACATGTGTGTGCACATATGCATATGTATGCAGGTGTCTGTAGAAGCTAGCAGAGGACATCAGAGCTGGAGTTAGAGGCAAGTTGTGCATCCTCTGCCATGATGATCCTTGAGACAAACTCAGGTTCTCTACAAGCACAGCAAGAGCCATCTCTCCAGTCCCCAAAGACAAGGTACATTCTTGTCATAGACGACAGGTAGATAATACCAGTCCCGGAAGCAGTGCTTGTCATGGTTCGCTACATGGTGGAACCACCCTGAAGAGTGCTGCAAACTAGCCAATTTGATTTATTATTTTAATTGATTTAATTGATCCGGAGTGTAGCTAAAATATGCTGCAAGTAAGTGGGTTTCATTCTGGCCTTTTTTCATGGTAATATCTTTACCTAAATAGAGATACAATAGTTATTTTTAACAGAGATCAAGTGAACCTTATTTTGGATTCATCTATGTCACTTTATAGTAAAAATCAATGGACCTGTTGTGAAATGATACATATATTCAGAACAATTTGTGAATTAATAACAATGTCCACCTATTGTTGATTCAATTTCACTTTGTTTTTAAAAAGGCTTTCCATGTTACTTATCTGTATCTGGTTGTTAGTACTTGGTTACAGCCAGCACAAAGGTCTGTCCTTGTGCTCACAGATAAGGAGAACCTAGAATGTTAAACACACAGTGTTGTTCCTTCAAAGAAAAGGATGCATAGCCTGTTATCTACCCAGGAGGCTGGGGGCAGATGTGGTTAATAGCCTGGTGACCTTTTGCTACCTGTGTTGACAAGACCACAATGGATCCTCCCTAAGATCCTTATCATGAGCTTATTTTTCTCAATCTATAGAATCTATTTTTACAGAAGGTGTCTCATGCAGTCAATCCATAGAACCCATCTTTATGGAAGATATCACATATACTTTACAGAGAGTTTCCATGTATTCACATCCAATCTTTATATAACTTACTGTCACTCAAAGAGATGTGTGGGTGCTTTATTATGCACAAGGGATTGAGTTAATTATCACCAGAAAAGTTTTCACCAATTTGTGCTGTGCTTAAATATGCCTAAAATAAATTACTCAGAGTCAGACTCCCAAAGTTTGAACCAATGCCACCTACCTAGTCGTGTTGAACTGAACTGCCTTCTTGCCTCCCACAGACCGTTACTCTGCTAGCTGTGGTGGCCACAGAGACCCCTGTATTTGGTATTATAAAAACACAGGTATATTGGAAGGTATATGAAATGTTCATGTATAACATAGAAAATAAGTATTAAGCCAGTTTTTACCCAACTCAAAGCCCAGCGGAGAGTCTTTGCTTCACCAAGTAGAGTTCCCACATGTCTTTCTTGACTATATCTCCCTCCCTCTATCACAGGGTTACTATTCCAATTTTGGGAGTAATCTTTTTTCTTTCTTTTACTCAAAATTCAATGACCTAGGTTTGCATTTTCAAACAATGAAGTTTGATTTTACTGATTTTGAATGTTCTGCAACAGAATGCCATTCTGTGTTTTGAATTTCAATTCTTTTGCTCAGTGTTCTATACTCTCTTGGACAGACAACCTCAAGGGGAGCCCAGTTATGTTCACTTCATACTGTACTTTATGCAGAGTATCCACCAAATGCTATGTGTTACAGTCTGAGTACCCAGAGGACCAGCATTAGGAGGTTTTGTGAACCCTCAAAAGGAGGAACCACTAAAGAGGGTCATAGCTCTTTGAGTCATGCCTTCCATTAGGATTTGTCTTAGTTGGGGGTTTCTATTACTGTGATAAACACCATGGACAAGAGCAATTTGGGAAGGAAAGGGTTTGTTTCAGCTTGCACTTCCATAGCACAGTCTGTCACTGAGAGAAGTCAGGGCAGGAACTCAAGCAGGACAGAAACCTGAGGCAGGAGCTGATGCAGGAAGCCATGGAGGAGTGCTGTTTACTAACTTGCTCCTCATGGCCTGTTCAATCTATTTTCTTATACCATCTAGAACCATGGGCCCAGGAGTAGTACCCAGCGAGCTGGGCTTACCCATCTTAACCATTGATTGAGAAAATGCCCCTCAGGTTTTAAAATCACTTCCTCTTGCTAGCAAACTCTCTTTTGCAGACTCTTCCACGGGCCTTGATGAATTCAGCTGCAATGTAGGAGAAATTCATGTGGCAAAAAAACCAGAGACAACCTTCAAACAACACCCACATGGGTTCTGAGGCTCTCATTCCAATGATGTCAAGGAAGAAGGTATTCTCAGCTATCACAGAAGTGAGCTTCAAACTGGATCCTTTCAGACTGACTCCACAGAGGAGACCCCATTGCCAGCCAACATTTTTCCTGAAGCTTATGAAGTGCTAGGAAACCATCAATGCAGTCACACTATCTGAGTTCTGACCCACAGATACTGTGATTAATAGTGTGCAATCTTTATGCTACTAAGTTTTGAAGTCGTGTAATGACAAGTGGCTAGTGTAAAGAGCACCAAGAAAAAGAAGAAGCGAGTAAAGTTTGAGGAGACATAGATATGCTACAAAATACTTATTCTTAAGGGCTGTAAACCCAACAAATTTACTTCATTTCTAGGTAGCCCAAGAGATGCTTTGTTTACTATGATTTAGCAGAGGACAAGTAAGGGGTCACCAGCATTGTGGATAAATTCGGAGTAGAGACAATTTACTAAAACCCTCATTTTTATAGGAAGTATTGCTGCAGAATGTAGCTCCATAGGAGTAATGGGAATGATAAGATCACAAAAGAAACCATGTAGAACCATTTAGCGCTGGGAATTAATATGAGTATAATTATGGGATGGGTAATCAGTTAGGAATAGCACATGGGACAGGAGTAGAGCATAACTCCCAGCAATCTGTGGATTTTGAAGGAGAACCTGGTGTTCCTAATTATAAGACATGGGCACCCAAATCTAGAGTATCTGTTACTGTAGGCTCTACAGATATACGTGTATCCGTACATATGTATATGCACATATATTTATGTTTTGTTAGCATATGTTAGTGGAACAAAATAATGGATTTCATCATGACATTCCATATATACATATAATGTACTTTGATGGTACCTGTCCCTTAATCTCTCTCACCATCCTTCTATCCTTTCCTAAAATCCCTCTTCCATTTTCATGTACGTAGTTTTTCCACATATGGAAGGAAATATAATGATTGTCTTTGTGGGGCTGATGTCTTGTGGAAAGTTTTTTTAAAAGATTTCTTGTTTTTAACTATAGGCACTCATTGTTAAAAACAAAACATTAGTACTTACAGCCTTTGCTGTAGACCACAGGTTCTGATAGGCTGTGTTTTCATTTTTATTGGAGTTTAGGAATTTTATAGTTTCCTTGATGATTTATCCAAAGACTGATCACTCAAAAAATATATCATTTACTCTATATATGACTGTATTGTTTCTGTAATATCTTTCACTGTTAATTTCTATCTTCATTCATTTCGATTTAATAAAATACAAGAACACATTCAAATTTTTATGTCTGTTAAGAATTGATTTATGGTCTTAAATACGATTTGACAAAAGTTTCACAGGGTCTTGAGAATATGTAAGATGTATAATAGAACATCCTTAGATTCCTGTTCAGTCTGTCTGACCTAATAGTATAGGTTAGTCCTAAAGCTTTATGGTAAGTTTTGGAAAGGAGTCTAGATGACCAATAGATTGAACAAGTAGCACTGAAATCTTCCACTGTTATTCTGTCTGGACCAATCCATCCATTTGTATTAGTAGTGCTTGTTTTATGAAGTTGGATGCATAACTTTCAGTGCATGTAGTGGATCTTGTGAGGTGTTCTCTAACATGTAAATGTTGCACAAATCCTAATTGGTCTTTTAATTAAAAAATACAAAATAAAAAAAACCCCTAGAGCCAGATACTGGGTTAAATGCTAAAAGATCAGAGAAAACAAAAGAACAAGCCACTAGAGAAACTTTTCAGCACTACCGAATCCTCAGGCTGAATGAAAGGCAAGATCCTATCTCCACAAATCCTCTGACTGAAAGCCTCTGAGTCCTCAGCCAAAAAGCCTTTAGTTCCTGTCTCCTCATGCCTTATATACCTCTCTCTCTGCCTAGCCATTTCACTTCCTTCCTAGTGCTGGGATTAATGGTATGTGTGTTTCCCAAATACTGGTAGCAAAGGCATGAGATCTCAAGTGCTGGGATTAAAGGCGTGTGACTCCCAAGTACTGGAATTAAAGGTGTGTGCCACCACTGCCTGAATCTGTTTCTCTCCTAGACTGAATCAATCTCATGCAGTCCAGGGTGGCTTTGAATTCACAGAGATCCAGACAGATCTCTGCCTCCCGAGTGCTAGGATTAAAGGTGTGTACCACTGCTGCCTGACCTCTATGTTTAATCTAGTGGCTTGTTCTGTCCTCTGATCCTCAGGCAAGCTTTATTTAATACACAATATATCACCACATGTAAATATGCATCCTGAAAGAATTGAAAAATGAGGAAAGTATTTAGGTAAGTTGCACAAATGGCAATCCATAATTCCTTCTCCAAGTTCCACTTGGATGCACTTCTCAAACCCATGACCCATCCATTGAAAAGGAAGACAGTACTCTGAGAGGCAGCATCAAAACAAATACAAATAGCGGTAACCCTTTTGTCTGTTTCTAAAAGCTCCTGCAACAGCTCAGAGGCAAGTGAAATGCCTACATATTTGTGTGCTATTGATCATCAGATCTGAGTTAACACTGGCAACAGCATTCCAAAATGCCAACAGAACCCCCATTGGGATCTGGTGGTGATATCAGAAAATAAATCGAGTCTTGACCCATGTGGGTCTCACAATCTGTCCACTGGATCCAGGTTTGCCCCAGAGAGCCATGTACCCAATTCACAAACATTAGCTACAGCACATTGTTTCCTTGAGTTGTGGAATGAAAACTATTAGAATAGAGAAAGCCACATGATGTCCCTGAAATGGCCTAACACTCATGTCCATCTCCCATGTGAGCTAGTCAATAAAAATTATAGATTAAAGCCTTTTCAAAGACATGCATGGGAGGTCAATTGTTGAAGGATATTTGATCACACTGTGATGCTCCGAGACTTAATAAAGTTAACTTTGAATCAGGGGGTGGAGCCAGTGCCTAACTGACCAGAGTTAGACACAGAGAAGCCAGGAATTTGGGTAGAAAAGATGAAAAGAAGGAAAAGATGGGACTAGAGTTTGGTGCATCCTTTTGGTTTTGGAACAAGTGAAGAGACATGTCTCTTGTTGTGTCTCTGGCCAAAAAGCAAGGTCAGCTGGTTGCTTCTTGGCTTCTCTGTTCTAGCAGGCTTTCACCCCCACTTCTGACTTCTGAGTCTTTGTTGGTAAATAAAACAATAGAGACTTAGTTTAAACCTACATATGGCAGCCACAGCAGAGCCAGGGTGGTGGGACTAGAAGGCCCTCAAAGCCATAGCCTGAGTGGCTGGTGGAGCATTGATAGGGGGGAGGCATGGGGCTGCAGACATTAATTAAAATATCAGTAGATTCATGTGCAGCCACTAAGCTGACAGAAAAACATCATTTGGCGCTCAATGTGGGGCACCAAATATAGCAAACTTTCTCATCAGACTTTCTTTGGACCACCAGAACCCAAATAATGACATGGAGACTTACTATTAATCAGGGAAGTTTGGCCTTAGCTTGGGCTTGTTTCAAACTAGCTTTTACAACTTAAATCAACCTGTTTCTATTAATCTACATTTTGCCACATGGCTTGTTATCTCTCCTTCATACTATATGTCCAACTTTCTCAATGTCTTGTTGGCATCTCCCACATGCCTAAATTCATCCTGAGTTCCTCTTTCTCCCAGAAGTCCTGCCTATTCTCCCTCTGCCTAGCTATTGGCCATTCAGCTCTTTATTAAACCAATCACAACAACAGATCTTCACACAGTGTAAACAAATATCCTACAATAGTCAATCAAATCAGATTTCAATAAAATTCACTAGGACAGTCCCCACAAAGCAAATATATCATAATGAATGTCAGTAGAAGACCATAAGACCATTTAACAGATCCAGTTATAGCTATCTTGAGGTATATAAAATCTTGGGGGAAGTGAGCTAATAGTATCTGATATTGAATGCAAATGGATATAAAGTTAAGAGGAGACAGTCCTAGTTCATATAGAACCAATAGAAATATAAATTCACTGTCTTAACCTCAGCTTGTCTGACTCTCCTGCTCTTTGTCACAATATGGTCTGAAAGGACATGGAGCTTCTGATCCCCGATATTGACTCACAGAGCCTGATTGTTCCACCATGGTGAAGTAGAGACCCTGATGAACAGTACATTTAGTGCTGATGACCCACTATGCGGTCCTGGCAATTTTAGTTTGAGTGCTAAGTGTAAATGGCCAAGAATAGCAGCTTTATTTAAATAAGAATATAGTAGCCACTGGCTCAGAACCCTCAGGATGTGATCTAAGTGGCTCTTCAAAGAAGGCATCTGATATGCCTACTGTAGCTTTCTCTAGTCATTCTGACTAAATGAGCTGGAGTAACTAGAAGAAGGAGGTGTATGGGTGGATAAAAGGATGCTCTACCCAGGTGCCCTTTATCCTGTGGTCCCCATCCTGAAGCTAGTGTGAGCACACAATGCAGATGGCTCACATTGATCATTTGCTGTGTGCTGTGCTCTTGGGGTAATTCTTTCCATATACATATGCTACCTTCTCTACACATTTCTGTCATACCTGCACCTCTCCTACACCGAATGGTCACAGATGATGATAACAGAGTAGGAGTGCAAAGGTCCAGACACCTTGCCTCTAAGAAAGGAAGGACTGAAGTCCTGCTCGAATTCTAGAACCTCCCTGTCAAGTGATGTCAAATGGGTTGGCATTTATGGAAAATACACGTTGTTTCTAGTACTGTAATCATCGCCCTGAAAGTTTCTTCCAGGTTCCTCTGGAGAACCTTTCCTTGTTATTGTTCCTGCAAAAGTTCCTGTTCAAGGTTCTACTTTTGCCAAACCCAACAGAGCACACACTTGTTGTGGCAGCCCCTTAACTACAGCCTGCTTCAGCCTGCTGCCTGCTGATATCCCCTTCAATACAGGCAGGAGCACAGAGGTTTGAACTCTTCTGCCTAAAGCTTGGTCTTTATAAGATACTGTCCATAGGAAGGATCCAGGTACTGGTTCTAAACATCCATATTTATGCTTTCCAATGAAGATTTATAAAGGGCTGACACACATGTCACCATGTCCTGTGGTCTTTTCGTTTTTAGAGATGGACTATAGAAAAGCTGTTAATGTGACAACAGGAAGGAAAAAGAAGACAAAATGCTTTATATTTATATGGCTGCAAAATCCACATTTATTTAAGTTGTAGGAATGACTCTATTTTAGGAAATAGGGCAGGGAACACATTTTTCCATTGTAGGGGGGTGTCACATAATAGTTTTAAGGAATCGAAAGGAAATTCAAAGCTGTGTTTGAAAGAGTGAGCAGTATAGTGAGAGATAGGGTATATTTGTAGGCAAAAGCAGCATGCTCATCAACTGGAACTAAGGGCTTATAACAGACATCACAGAATTCATCTCACAGGTGGTCTACATCAGGGATGTTAGTTGGTGAAGGACAGGAGACTGTGGGTGAGAGCGCTCAGCAACAAGAAGCACTAGAGCATGCTGGGCGACAGCAGGTGGTCTGGCAACAGGAGGGGTGGCAACAACTAGAAATGCAGCAGCTGGGCCTGCAGCAGCTAGACTCACAACAGCTGGAACCACAAGAACAGGGGTGGCAGCAGCTGGACACACAGCAGCTGGGACGGCAACAACTGGATGTGCAGCAGCTAGGGCGGCAGCAGGTGGGCTGGCAGCACACAGACTGGCAGCAGCTAGGTCTGCAACAGCTGGACACACAGCAGCTGGGCCTGCAACAGCAGCTGGGCCTGCAACAGCTGGACACACAGCAGGTGGGCCTGCAACAGCAGCTGGGCCTGCAACAGCTGGACACACAGCAGGTGGGCCTGCAACAGCAGCTGGGCCTACAACAGCTGGACACACAGCAGCTGGGCCTGCAACAGCAGTTGGGCCTACAACAGCTGGACACACAGCAGCTGGGCTGGCAGCAGCTAGACACACAGCAGGTGGGCCTGCAACAGCTGGACACACAGCAGCTGGGTCTGCAGCAGCTGGACACACAGCAGGTGGGCCTGCAGCAGCTGGGCTGGCAGCAGCCTTGGCCACAGCCCTCCTCAGAGCAGACAGAGCCACAGCAGGAATTGACCATGGTGTCAGAGGTGGAGATTCTGGGTGGGTTTACAAGGAGGTGGATTGGAAGGTTTGGAAGTGGGAGTCTCCCTCCCCACATCCCCTTTTATACCCCACCGAGGGGCTGCTGTCCTCACAGGCAGCATTCTTTCCTTGTTATTGTTTACATAGATAAATATGTGATTATCAAATTAAGCAATATTTTTTTCCTGGTTACATTTTCAGGTTGGGGAGGAAACACAATTTCTCTTCCTGATGTGTTCGAATTGGTCTGTCAGCACTTCCTGAGTTACCTTTCTAAATTATGATCAAAGGGCATCGTCACATGGCACTTTGCCTCTTGATATTACACACTTCAGTCTCAGTTCACACAGCATAGCCTGTCCATTCCAGCGTGACATATACTTGTTTCTAATCACCCATGAGAGTAAATTCATGGTACAGTCTTATTGTCCATTTGTTACAGATTGTCAGAAGAGGTTTGAATGTGAGACAGAGCACTGATGTATCCCCTGCCAGCTGCAATTAATCACCCAGTGTTCAGACTTTCTCATGGGGAACACAGCACTATTTTCTGACATGATAGTAAGACATGAAATTTTGATGTTTACTTTTTGCCAAACACAGACACTCCAAATTTATTCTTAGGGCCTCTCAGGGGAAGTTGGCTGCCAAGTCCAGCTACATTATGAGATCCAGGTCCCTCAGCTTGCTGCTGTGGAGCTGATTTTCATTGTTGACTTACTGTCTTTCTGGCTTTGGTGGGAAACATTGACCCATTCCCATTTTTAAGATACACTTTCCTACCCACTCACCATAGTTCACTGTGCTTGCCTGCTGCTCTAACTTGGATCCTGCCGTGTTGTGTTGTTGGGCTTTTAAAGCCCAATGCTTTCCTGCTTCATCTGCATTGTTGGTTGTCACTCAAGCAGGAGATGATAGGGTACAGATTTTTAACTCAGGACATCTGCCTATGTGTTTTCATTGTGAAAACATAGTGCATGCTTAAAGGCTGAAAAAATATGTCTAACTCAACTTCTGGCTGATAACTGTTTGGAAAACAAGGACTGCTGACAATCTCTTATGCTCCTCCATCTCTGGAGTCAAGTGGATCTGAGGAAGGAGATCCTGGCTTTGTGTCATGATCTTCCAGGTTCATGCGGCATTCCACTTTAGGGCACTCTGGACAACAACACCTGTGTTAGGCTGGTCTCTCTGAGAACACCATGCACATCTCCAGTCTACTGTCAGTCTTCCCATAAAACCTGTTCTTCTGAATGTCTGCGGATTCTAAAGATAGGAAAGAGTAAATGTGTTGAATGGCAGAATCATGTGTCCAAATGATTAAAGAATCATGCTTGCATGAGAGAAAGCACTAACAAGGGGAAATTTCAGAGGTAATGTAAAAAAAAAAGCAACTAATCAGGACAAAACAAATTAACTAACCAGGTTACTAACCAAGAAGGTGAACAAGATTGGGAGGGGTGAATGCATCTAAATTTCTTGGAAGGAAATTTTTTAAATAACCCACAATCCCTGAGGTTGTGTCAATCTCACCAACTTTTAACCTGACCAGCCATAATATTTTGATCAAATTAACATTTTATTCTTGGACTTGAGTGGAAAAGTGGGTTGAAATTGAATATAGTAGTGCATACCTCTAATTTCAGCATTTAGGAGGCTAAAAGACATCTATGAGTTTGAGGTGAGCCTAGGCTACATCATGAATTTGCAGCTAACCTGAACTACATAGAAAAAATCAGAAAAGAAGAAAAGAAAAGTGGTTGCAACCTGTTGGCTAAGAAGTAACCACTGCACATGTCTAAGAAATTGGTATAGTTTATAAAAAACAAATCCTTAGGTGTTTCACACTAGAGTAAGTTCAGTGTTAGTTCACACGACTCCATTTGCAGACATTAAACTCGGAGGCATTAAAGTCCCTGGGCTCCAACACTCTCGTGCATTCTTGAAGAGTGGTATTTACGAAGGAGAGGGAATAATTCTCTTCTCTAAGTAGTCAGAACCTACCTGCAAAGTGTGTTTAATTCCACAAACCAGAGCAACGGAAATAAATGTGGTATGTGGAGATTAAAGTTAATGTGGTAATGGCATTGTGACTAATGAGCCATGAGTGGGAAACTTTGAAAACTGAGTCCCAAGAAGGGAAACTAGAGTGGATCAATGGCACATAGCTGAAGCACTCTGTATGAGGGACTTCCCCCCATGACTGCTGGCCATTGTTGGAGGGGAAGTGGACATCTCAGGGAAAAACATGTGATTCACCCTGTGCAGTTGGCTTGTGGAATGGGTTGCCCTGAGGTCGTCAGTAAAGGGACTTAAGTATGAGTTGTTATTGCTGAGGAAGATTCAAGAGCCAGATGGAGAGACAATGACTTTAAGATTTCCTTTCTGCCCTCTGGCACTTAGAAGCCTAATTGAATCACAATGCTCTTATAATGCTCTTTTGTGCTTGGCCTATTTCCCTTCCAGTCTTGGTCCTTATTGCTAGATTTATGTAGCCAGGAAAATTGCCCGAGCTGCCAACTGGACCTCTTTAGGAGAATTGTCTGGTATCCTGTGTCTGCACTCTGTCCTGGCTCTAAAGAATGTAGACACAAGGTAGGAAAGTTTTATATGTTTTCCTCTGTCATAGGGAGAGGGGAGCAATAGAACTCTCCCAGTTATTGTGGGGCAAAGTCCCTGGTTACTCCATTACAGTAACCAAGGGAGTCTAATATCCCCAGAAGCTCCTGTGTTTTAGGGAAAGAATGGCCCTTGAGCAGCCCTGGTGACTAGTGGCTAAACATGACCCAGTGGACATCAGAACTATTTCTAACATTTCTGTTTGGTCCCCTGCCCCAAATCTCAATTTCCTGCTTGAAATTTTCACTCATGTTGCCAACCACCAACTCCTCTGCTGCCTAAACTTCTTATCATGTCCAAATCTGACCCTGCCCCTCTTCATGGCTGTCTCTTGTGTCCATTTTCCACCTGGACACTGGCAGGGCATCCTCAGGCTCCCTGACATGTGACTGATCATTCTTTATACGTCCCCAGAGTAGCTCAATCTCAAATAGTAGGCCCCTCCCAAGGCCATGGCTGATGACATTCTGAGGTATGGGGGGGTGACAAAATAGATTCTGTCTCCAGTGCTGGCCTGTCACACAGAGGAAGTCACTGTCACATCAAATCCCCATGTTGGATTTCAGCTTGTGAGAACCATGGGCTTATTTTAGGACTAGGACTACCAGGCAGTCTCCCCCAGTGATGAGTGACTGATCTAGTTTGCTTTCTGATGCCATGACTCCATGACCAGAAGCAACTTCAGGAGGAAAGAGTTTATTTTAGCTTACAGGTTACAGTCCACCATCAAAGGCAGGATTTCAAAGCTAAAAGCTCAAGAAGAAGCCTCAGAGGAAAATTAGTCCCTGGCTTGCTTCCAGACTCACATTCAACTGCCTTTCTAGTATCTCCTAAGACCAACTACAGAGGGATGGTCCAGCCCACAGCAGCTTCCCATGTCAATCAACAATTAAGGACGTGTCACACAGACACACCCATAGTCCAATCCAAGGGAGGCAATTCATCAGCTGAGGTTCTCTGTCCCAAGGTGTGTCAAGCTGACAACCAAGATTAACTATCACAGCGGCTTATCATGTGGTTGAGGCTTTGGCTCCCCTCCTTCCAGGAGCTGGGTGCAGTTTTCACACTTTCCTCTGAGTAACATTTCTGTTTCTCCAGCCAAATGCCAGATTCAGAAAGATAGAGATCATGTGTTTTCTATTATATGCAGAGAGTCTAGCTAGCATTTGGGCTGTATGTAGCTCAGTGATAGAGTTCTTGCTTGACATATTCAGAGTTTAGAACATAGATCTATGTATCTTATATCTACATATGAGTGTGTATTCATACACACACACATGCACGCAGGCATGAATGAAGAAGGAGGACTATTTGGGGTCAGAAAGATGACTATGGCAGGAGTGGGTGGGATAAGAAATGGTAACGCAGGGTTAATGTAGTTAGAGTATAGTGTATAATAAATGTACACTTGTAGCATTTTAGAAAAAAAGAATGAAACCACACAGTGTTGTACATTTGTATATATTTTTCTGCAAATGACACAACTTCATTTTTATGGTTAAATAATATCCCTCTGTATATATAGCAAAATTTCTTTATTCATTCATCTGTTGATCAGCCTCAGCTGATTCCAATATCTTGGCCAATGAGAGTAGCTCCACAATAATTATACATATGCAGATATCTCTTTTGCATACTGACTCTTCAGATAAGTACTAGAGTAATATAACAGGATTGTATGGCTTTCCATTTTTAGCTCTTGGTAAATCCTCTATGCGAATTTCCATATGGCTCCATTAATTTATCTTTTCAGCTATAGTGATGGCCCTGCTCCACCCCTTCCCCCACCCCCGCCCGTATCCTCACAGGCACCTGTTGCTTGTTTTCTTCATGGTAGCCATTCTGACTGGGGTGAAGAATCTCAGCATAGTTTCGATTTGCATTTCCCTAATGGAGAAAGATATTGCATATTTTAAATGAATATTAGTTAGCCATTTGTATTTCTTTTAAGAAGTGTCTGTTCAGTTCCTTTATATGTTTATGATTGTGCCATTTGGGTTCCATGGTATATTTTTAGTTCATCACGTGATCTGGATATTAATCCTTTCTCAGATGAAAGTCTCTTCCCTCCTCTCCTCTTTTGTGAGACTAAATTCCAGTTCAAATAAAAATTTTACTTACACTTGATGACTTAAAAGGGGAGGCATCTCAGGGTCAGGTAGAAACCTGGTGCAAGGGAAACTCTCATGAATCTATAAGGATGACCCCAGCTAAGACTTCTAGCAATAGAGGATATAGTAGCCTGAACTAGCCATCTCCTGTTATTAGATTGTTGACTATCCCAATTGTCATCAGAGCCTTCATCCAGTAGCTGGTGGAAACAGATGCAGAGACTCACAGCCAAACATTAGGCTGAACTCAGGGAATCCTGCTGAAGAGAGGGAGGAAGGATTGTAGGAGCCAGAGGAGTCAAAGATATCACAAGAAAACCCTCAGAAACAACTAACCTGACTCATAGGAGCTCACAGGATCTGACCCAACAATCAGGGAGTCTACACGGGACCAACTTAGGCCAACTACATATATGTGACAGTTGTGTAGCTTGGTCTACTCCTGGGACTCCTAACAATGGGAGCAGGGCTGTCCCTAATCCATTGGCTGGCTCTTGGAAACCTATTCCTCATACTGGGTTGCCTTGCCCAGCCTTAATATAAAGGGAGATGCTTAGTCTTACTGCAAGTTAATATGCTATGCCTAGGACACTGCTGGTTGGGAATATAGATTGGTCCAACCCCTATGGAAATCAGATGGAGATGCCTTGGAACTAGAAGTAGACCTACCATGTGACTCACCTCTCCAATTCTGGTGTGTACACAAAGGGTGCTAAATCAGCACATCACAGAGATGCACAATCCATACTCCCCACAGTGCTGGTCACAGAAACCAAGTTGTTAATCAGACCAGGAACCCAACAGCAGGTGCAGGAATAAGGAAAAATGTGGTATATAAATGTGGAATTTTGTTCAGCATAATTAGAGAATGAAACTATGCCATTGACTGGGAAATAGCCACAATAAGTAAAATATGTCCAGCTCAAAAAAAAGAAAACTATTGCCTGTTTTCTCTCATCTGTGGTCCTACAGTATATCTAAATAAATAAATGTATTATATGTATTTGAGTGAAAGTAGATGAGAGCGAAGGGAGGTGGGAGGAGGGTGAGGGGATGGAGAAGAATATGGCGAAAATGCACGATATACTTGAAAGAGATTGTCTTTTGAAGGTTAGCACTATGCATAATGAATATGCACCAATAAAAAGTAAATAAAAATGTGAGATGAGCACATTTTATGCCTTTGAAGGCTTAAAGTTTTATTAGGAAATATCAAGCAATTGGCATGAAAATAAATTTCATGGGGCGGAGGGAACATTAGAACGAAAAAATTCTAAAAGTAAAACGTTTAACAACTTGTCCTTTGAAACAGAGTAAGGAATTCTAAAACAATTTGAAGAATAATTCATAATTCTGATGGACTAGTATCAAAAATGATTTTAAGAGAGAATAAACAGTAACAGACACAGGGATTTTCCAAGTCATCCCATGAGTCTGTCTGTTTATAATATCAGTGTGTCACATGCCCTGTTGACTAGATGCCTAGACTGCAGGACTAAGATGAGAAAGAAAACTGATCCAGGTCAGGACACTCAGCAACAAGAATCACCACAGCAGCTGGGTCTGCAGCAGCTGGACACACAGCAGCTGGGGCGGCAGCAGGTGGTCTGGCAGCAGGTGGTCTGGCAGCAGCCTTGGCCACAGCCTTCCTCGGAGCAGACAGAGCCACAGCGGGAGCTGACCATGGTGTCGGAGGTGGATATTAGAAATGGATTTCCAGCCGGGCGGTGGTGGCACATGCCTTTAATCCCAGCACTCGGGAGGCAGAGCCAGGCGGATCTCTGTGAGGTCGAGGCCAGCCTGGGCTACCAAGTGAGTTCCAGGACAGGCGCAAAGCTACACAGAGAAACCCTGTCTCGAAAAATCAAAAAAAAAAAAACAACTTTCTTTGCCGGGCGGTGGTGGCGCACGCCTTTAATCCCAGCACTCGGGAGGCAGAGCCAGGTGGATCTCTGTGAGTTTGAGGCCAGCCTGGTCTCCAAAGCGAGTTCCAGGAAAGTCGCAAAGCTACACAGAGAAACCCTGTCTCGAAAAACCAAAAAAAAAATGGATTTCCAAAGGAATGTATGACTTGAATCTGGGCATCTCCACGCCCTGGGTCCCATTTTACACCCTGCTGGGGTTTCTCTTCCTTTTCGGGTTAACCATGGTAAGTAAACAATCATTAACTTGGACAATTATGTTTTCTGCATTTGATGGGAAACACTGTTTTCCTGATGGATTAAGGCCTTTGCCTCTGACTTCCTGATACACACTTAACACAGTCATCAGGCTTCAGGTACTGAGTATGCTGATGCTCACTCCATCCTTCTTTCCCCCTGAATCATTTTGTCTCCCTTTCCTTGTGCTCAGTGTTATACCTTTAAAATCCTTCAGCTTCTTCCATAGAAGACAGTCCTGTGAAAGTTGACATGCTGTCCAGGTGTTCCTCTTCCCTAACTATTGTTTAAGAGACTTAATAGGGCCAATAAGATATTCTGAGATCTCAAAAGCATCGAATTTAGCATTGGAAAGCAAGGCAAAATCCACACGGTGTCATCAGTTGTTACCAAAAATAGTCAGTGAGCAACAATAGAAGAGCCCCACAGCACTCCCACCACTCCCACCCCACTTCCTGGACCCCAGAAGCCTCACAGTTTTTGTTTTTGACAAGTTGGTATGTTTAACAGGTTGGAATTCGTACAGGCCTTGTGCAGGACTTGTGTAGGTCTCATGGAGGTAACCACAGCTGTTTCGGCCAGTTCGTATGTGCAACAGCTGTATCATGTCCAGAAGCTGACGTTTCCCAGCGTTCCTCTCCACCCTCTAGATGGTACATTCTGTCTGTCCACTCTTGTAGCACAGTATTTGAGTCTCAGAGCAGGGTGGGAGGAGCATAGATGTTTTACCTATGGCTGAGCACTCACAAAGGGGCTCCTGGTGCCCCTGAGACAGCCGAGGAGCCAGAACCACTTTTCTTTGGTGAATGGGTAACCATTACTAGGTTACCCATGCCCCAGTGGATGATCCTTCACCCATGAGTATACAAGCAGCACCAACTGGTTATAAGATAAAGATTTTGAGGGTCATCAAGAGGAGTTAGAGGGAGGTCTGGGGGTATACATAATGAAGATACATTGTATACATGCATGAAATTTTCAAAAATAATTTTTAAAAGTCAGTTTTTTTTTTCTGGAGTGGACATTGGAATCATCATTGGAGTCAGTAACAAGGGTTATATAACTAAAAACCACTTATATCAGTATTTACATAAATTACATTTATATTTATATAAAATTGACTATGTAGCATAACACAATTATTTTGAACATTTATAGAGTGAAACTGATATAAGTGTTAGTTATAAAGTAATAATATTAGTTTATAATTGTCTCATTTTATCCTGTTAAAGAAGCTTAACTTCCATCTGATGGTGTTTCTTCTCAATTTTTTGATGATTGTGTTCTCTTTATTAACCAGAAAAAAAAATTAAGAAAACGTGATCATGTTCTATAGTCTTGGTCATGACCTTCTAGGGCTGGGGTGTGGGCATTCCAGGGCACCTTGATGGCCAGCCAGCAGTGCCAGTGGAGATGGTGAAGAAGTTTGTTGGGTAAGCAGCCATTGACTCAAGTTCCCTAGGAGTCGTCTTCAACTCCACATCCCTGTGACCCAGCAAGAAACAGATAGGAACAACACAGGGCTTCAAGGTCTGGCGAGTTCTATAGCTAAGTCTGACATCCGTTCTGATTAACTGGTAACCTCAAATTACTGTTCTTTCAGTATTTTGAATCTTGCACTTGCCATAAAATTTTGATCTCTACTGGTGCATTCCTTGAGCAGGCATTCTACTAAGTCATGTCTTAAGCCTGCTGGTAGACTGGAAAGTGACATCTTGTCAGAGGGAAGGGGGTCGTTGCAAGCCAGATGAGTACAATGGAGTTTTAATCAGCAGTGCTGACTCAGGAAGTCTGGGGAAGAGAGTAGAATGTCTTCTATTTTTTATTTTTTTACTTTATTTGTTTTTCTGTGATATCTCACTACACAACTAGAGTTTCTACATCCCAGAATAAGATACCAAAATAGAGCTTCAAAGTGTAGGAACTATACAACTTAAAGATGGGAGCACAAGTAGATTGACACAAAGTGAAATGAGTTATCTGGGAGTCAAAGGGCCAGGGACTTAGAAAGACCTCAGGGGAACATTTTTAATATAATGTTTTTATTGATGGTTTAAGGATGTGCACATGTATACAATGTATTTTGATCATATCCATCTCTCGTGGCTCCTCATAACAGATCACCCTTGCTCTCCCAACTTTATGTCCTCTTTTCTCTAACAGACTGAGTTCAGGTTGTACTGCTCGTATATTCATGGGTGTGGAGCCATCCACGGGAACGTAGTTGATCTACCAGGAGCCATACACTTCAAGAAAATGACTCTCCCTAGACTATACCATAGTTCCTTGCCTAGGAAAGAGGGGTTCACAAGCCCTCCCTATTCCATGCTGGAATGTTGACTGGCTTGATCTTGTGCAAGCAACCACAGCTGCTGTGAGTTCATAAATGCAACTTCAGAAAACGCAAATGCCTATGAGGAGTTCTTCTCCCCAGCATTCTTTTCCTACTTCACAAAAATCGTGTATCCAACCTCTCCCATGCAAGAAGTTGGTCTACCAGTTGAATTCCTCAATATTCATAGCTCTCACAGGGACTGGCTCCTAAGCCGTCTAGCTCTGGGAAGGGCTGGGGTTGGTGTTTACCAGTCTTCTATGGTAATGAAATGGCTTTAAACACGCAGGTAAACACTTGCTGCTGCAGGTCACCAACACCCCACCCTCAACTCAGCTTCTCCATGGAGGGTTTTGACTGTATACTCTCAGAGGTGATGCCCCAGAATCAAGCTTTTAACTAGCTTCCATCCGGGGACCAGCAATACATGTAATTAGTAGTACTTACGTGTTTGGTCTCTACCTCCATGAAACCAAGTCTCCAGCCTCTCCCTGAAAGGACTTTGACCACACATCAAGTACTCCGACTTTTACAGCTCCCATCAAAGGGACTACTAGCTCCTAAATACAAGAGTCCTCCAGGACCATAGGGATCAAAGAGGCAATTTCAAGGAGGCTCAGGAGGAGTGTCTATTTCTCTATTTCAATGTACACCTAGCCGGCAGAAATACCCAGCTCCCATTGCTTACTGGAATGGTCTTGGTTTCATATTAGCTATGAAGTCCCAAGTTCCCCAGCTGTTCTCCATACATCAGGATTTTAATTAACCTTTTAGTCTTGGGCCTGAGGGAGCTGATAATTGCCACAATTTTGGGAACATGAAGAGAAGGTAGATAGACATTTCCCATAACCCTTGTCACAGGCTTTCTTCAGCAATAGGTCCCACTCCATCCCAGGCCCCAGCTAGGCTGCCTGTCTCCGACTGCTGATGGGAATGTGTTCAGTAGTTGTGTAAGAGAGTAAATCACCCTGTTGCAGGAGTCAGGTCTGAAAGAGAGTGAAGGTGCCATAGATCCTCTACCCAGCTTAGTGCTGAGAGAGTTTGGGCTAAGAGCCAGCGCCCAGCTTGTCTCTAGGGAATCAGGAAAGTAGACCACACAGGGAGCAAGCTCACTTCCCAGCCTCTTGAGTGACAAGGCTCGGCCTCACATCTTGAGACACTAATGTACTTGGCACACTTGAATCCCCCAGGGAACTACTGAGAGTGGAGACAGTGATTTGAACAAGGACAAGGATTGAGAGGCATCTGGAGTCTCTGCCCCAGGGAGGCCTGTCTGCAAAGACTGGACCTGGGGTTGGGGTGGAGGTGCTTTACCTCATACGCAGAAAACAACAGGAAGACTTGATTGAAATGCAGAAGAGAGGAAATATGTTCTGAACAAAATGGCAAGATCAATATGCAAACAATTATGGAAGTTACAAGGCCTGAGTGTTTCAAATAACTCTAACTAAATTACATTGAGAAGTATATAAATTGGTACACGAAAGGTATCATGGCTGGTTCTTTGGTTTATTGTGTGGGTTTTTTTTTTTGTTGTTGTTGTTGTTTGTTTAGTTGGTTAGTTTTAATTTTGGGGGAGGAGTTTGGGGTTTGGGATTTTTGTTTGTTTGTTTGTTTTGTTTGCTTATTTATGTTTGTCAACTTGACACAACTGAGTCATCTGGGAAGAGGAACCTCAATTGAGAAAGTGCTTTCATGAGATCATGAAGTCTATGGGACATTTTCTTGCCTGATTGGTGTGGGAAGGCTTAGCTCACTATGGGTGGCATCACTTCTAGGCAGGTGGTTCTGAGTGGTATAAGAAAGCAGACTGAGCAAGCCATAAGGAGCAAGCCAGCAAGCAGCACTCCTCCATGGCCTCTGCAACAACTCCTGCCTCCAGGTTCCTGCCTTGAGTTCCTGCCCTGACTTCCCTCAGTGATGGACTACAAACAGTCAAATAAGCCCTTTCTTCCCCAGGCTGCTTTTTGTCATGGTGTTTTATCACAGAAATGGAAAAGAATCTAGGACAAAAGGCACATAATGTAGGAGAAGGAGCTAGGAGCAGAGCGTTCGAGTATGCAAAGGAAATTGTTTTCAGCTTAGAAACTTTCATAACTGGGGGATGGTTTATAATTCCACAACTAATACCTATAGAGATTGCACCAAAGAAATCGAGATGAATGAATACCTATCAACAATCCCCCCACCCCCA